AAGGTCTGACAAGATATAGAGAAGGTACAGAAAGCTATAGAGATTCAAATAAGTAAGTACTGCTGCAAATCTAATTTCAGTATTAGGGATAAGATATTCTTATCACTAAAGAACTACAACATTGACTGACTGAGCAGAAAGCTAGCAGAGCAGAATGAAGACTCTTTTAAAATAGTGAATAAAATAGATAATAGCTACTGGCTCTGGCTACTGAGCTTTATAAGAATCTATCTTATGTTCTTTCTGAATAAGCTTAGAAAAGCTGCAAATAATCTTCTCTCTGATCAGAGTATAGATTTCTCTAACTGTGTTATAATCTATAATAAGAATGAATGGGAAGTGAATAAGATTCTGGCAAGCTGAATCTGTAGAAGAAAGCTTCAATACCAAATTAAATAATTGGGGTTTGACCTAGATTATATGTAATATTCTGCCCAGAATCTGAAAAGATGCTCACACAAGATTTGTATCTTCAATACAGTAAATTCTATAAAGTCTGGACCCCTAAAACAGTTAGATAAATGGCAAGAGGCTTGAAAGCTAGAAGAGTATCTTCTGAATGAGGAAGCTGATAACCTGCTAGCATGAGAGCGTGCCTGAAGCTGGTAGAAGAATAATATAAGAACTGCAACTCTTCTGACAGAGCTGGCAGACTGGGGAAAAGTCATTCTGAAGCAAAGCTCTAAACTCTAGACAGAGAATTCACTAAAGAGATAAATATTTATCTGATATAAAAGGTTATTGTGTATATAGTGAGCTCTCACTTCAAGCCCCCTTTCTAGAGCTTGTTTTAGTATTTTGTTATTATAGCTATCTAGTTAGCAACAGAGATTCTCTTTTCATAGTATCTAGCTGAGCATCTAATAATAAGTCTATCTTCTCTATAATCCTACAAGATCCATGCCTCAATAAATTCAATTTTTTATTAGACTGCATGGTCTTGATATTATCAAGATCAAGCCATATCTTATCTTTTATCTGAAAGATTTTTACAGTATACTTCTCATTATAATACTTCTTCTGATAGACTTATGCTTTCACAAGTGGTTTCTTGATCTTGTTGTAGAGTGATCTTATTATTATTATTATTAGTATTCATTATAGTCTTATGCAGTCAGTAACTATAAAGACTACCTAACAGCTTCTCTGTTAGGATTTACTTAGTATACATTGTAGAAACTGAAAAAAGAAAAAAATTCAAAGTATTTCAAGACAATATGAGATGTTCTTTCTCCACAAAAGTCAAATAACAGATAGTACATAATATCAATTTTAAAGAAAAATAAAAATTCTTGTAGCAATATGATACAAATTAAAAAGAAATAAAATTAACATATTTGAGAAAGCCACTGTCTAGTAGCTATTTCAGTAAATTTCAGAAATAAAACTAGCTATTTTAGGCCTAATTCAGTTTAAAAATAAAATTTAAAGATAGTTGAGAAATATCAAGTTCTTGTTGAATTTTTCTTCTTTTAGTATGATAAGCTGAGCAGTCTAATAGTAGATGCTTTGGATTTTCAACACAATTACAGAAATAGCATAAATTAGAAGAGTAGTCAGATAATCTTATTAGATAAGATCTGAAACATTTTCTGATCAAGCTTTAATTGGCAAATAGTTGATCATATCTTCTTAGATATAGAAAAAGTAGATGCTTTCTATCTGGATTTTATTTTAAATAAAGAGTAGTGATTTGTAGAACTTTCTCTATTAAAAAAATTTTCAAGCCACTTTATTATTACTTGTTCTTTTATTTGTCTCTTTATATAAGTAAGAGATATATATCTCCCTAAATAAATTTGATTTAATTCTCTAGCCTTTTTTGCTACTAGATCAGCTTCTTTATTTCCATGTATATTTACATAGATATTGTAGAACATCACCCTGCTATAAATATCTAGTTTTCTTATCACATTATTATCTTGATTTGTCAGCTTGTATTTTGGTTAGATTGATTGCTATATTATTTATTATCTGTTGTTATGTTATTTATCAACAAGTTATAGATGTAATTATTTTAAGATGTTGTGAATAGCTTACAGATATAAATAGAAACTTTCTTATCTTTATTCTTCTTCTTCTGTTCAATTATATCTTGTTTATAAGAGTTATTATTCCTTATTTTTTTGTTGATTCAACTTTGTTATCATGTCTTCAATAAAGAAACCCATTCTGAATAATGAGATGTCTTTATCTATTTGATGTGCATATATTTTATATTTACTAACTATCTGAACAAGAAAAATTCTTGTATCTGAGATACTGAAAAGAAATCTTGCAGTTACAGTTTAGAATATTAAACTTGTACTTACTATAATGTAAGTGCATTTTTATCTACTTTTCTTGTTATTCTGATATGGGTATAGGTCTCTGAGTCTGTTATTAATATTATCTGCAGACTTCTTTATCTTTATGAGAAGTATCACTTTTTCAATACTGCTGACCTATATTATTCTTATAATGTTAAAAGCATGAGTATTCTTGTGCAAGAGTTTTGTGATCTTGATTTCAGAGTTATAAAATATCAAAAGAAAACATATATTTTTTGTTGTTGTTAAGCTTCTTCTATTCTTGATAAATCTTTTTTAAAATAATGTTATCTTTCTTCTCCATAGTAAATCAAGTCTGTCAATCTTGTCTTTAACTCAGAATCTGTTAAAGATAATCTATCTAGCTTTCTTTATCTGTTAACTCTGATTTATGCTATTTTATTTCAGATCCAGAATAAGATCAGAAATGTACACGTCTTAATTTACTATCTTATTAATTGTGTGACAAGTAAGACAAAGAATCTTCAAGAGACTGTAAAGACTAACTTTATATATCTACTTGATTATTTGAATATTTCTTAGTGTTTATTACTGACTTTTGTATAGGTAAACATTATGTTGATTATTGATAGATTGACTGTTATAGTTACTGATAGCTTTTATAATATTATATGTGAGCTTTGTATTTTTTGTTATTTTTCTGATTCTGTTTTTATTGTTTTGTTCTTATCTAAAGTTTCTGTTGCTTCTTCTTTATCTGAAGTCTTTGTTACCTCTTCTTTATCTAAAGCTTCTGCTATGTTTATAATTTATGTTTCTATATCTTTAAAGTCTGCTAAGGCACTATCTGCTTCAGAGACTTCTGAGCATGATTTTTCTTTTACTAGCTCACTCACTTTGCAGCCATATTTTGAATATTCTTGTGGTACTCTATTTTATTATTAACTTCTTGATTTCTGTTCTGTAGATACTTAGACTCATCTTCTATTATATGTTTTCTTCTTTATATACTTAGATTTATCTGTCTTGTGGTAGCTATATTTCTTCTTTAGATAATTCTTGAGAGTCTCTTGTGCATTTTCAAGATTTTTCTCAGATTTTCATGTTAATTTCTCAATAGAGAATTCTTTTCACTTCATCAGATTCTTGTAATAATACATCTTGTTATCTAAAATTTTGTCTACTTTCTACTCAGAATGGTTATCTACCAGTATTACAGAAGAATGTATTGATATCTTACTCTTTTTTATACAATATGATTTCAACAATAAGACATGAAAGTTGTTGTAAATCTGATAGCTTGATAAGAGCTTTAGTTAATATGCATTATTTTCTATAGTCTTCACTACTGAGAAAGATTTATAGTACTTATTATCTAGCTTCTTGTAAAGATGTATTATCTGTAGATTCTTTAATAACAATATTACTTTGTTATCAGATGCATATATCTTATCTTAATATTTTTAGTTATAGAACTGTGCTTGATCTTCTTTTACTTTTGTTAAATATTTTATCAAACTATCTCTTAATACAGAAATCATTTTCAGTTTTCTGTCAGATATTATCTGTATGTTGTTGGTTAACTTCTGAATCTTGTCTAGTTCTCTAGATTTAAAGTTATACATTACTTTAAATAAAGACATATATATTATGAAGTGTTCTGAGATGTTGTATATAAATTCTGTATACATAAGCTATTTCTCTCAGTTATCTTGTCTATAACTGCAGTAGATATGAAGATATCTCTTGAAGATCTTCTTCAGTATCTCTGTTTGGCTGTTTGTTTGCAGATAAATTGCTGTGTTAAGTTTTTGTCTAACTTTTATGTGAAAGTGTAGCTCTAACTAGTATTCACTTGTGAAGACAGATTTCTGATTCAAGATAATATTATCTGAAAATCTGAAGTTCTTAAACATCTTTCTCAGCAAGAGATTTGCTATCTCTGATGTATTAATCTTCTTTCTACACACAAGAAAACATACAAGTTTTGTAAATTAATTTGCAATAATTAGAACTGTATTGTATAGATTTCTTTTCTTCTCACTTAGAGAAAGATCTATTATAAAGTTCATAAATATTGAATGCCAGAGACTACTAAATATTGATAATAAAGCAAGCAGCTTATATAGTTTGTACATTAGAATCTTTTCTTATTAGCAGATTTGATATTTATGTATGTATATTTGGATGTCTTTTCTTATTAATTGCTAATTGTATTTTTGCCAGAGCAAGACAAATGTTTTCACCATGCTGAAGTAATCTGAAATAGACTGATATTTGAAACTAGAATGGGATTCCATTTTTCATTGAAGCTTGTCCTGGTCTCAGATTTAGAAACAGCTGGAATCACAAATATGAAATTTCAGTCCCATGTTCCATCTCACTCAAGAGCCTGAGATTCTGTTTCTATCTCTGTTCTATAAATTATTTCCTAGTCCTGTTCTCAAATAGAAAATTATGTCCCACATTCCATTCTAGCAGAGAAGATAGACTCTTATTTTCCATTCCAGTCAGATTTATAGTGGAATCAGAATAGGACTAGATTTTCCATCCTCATCATGTTAAATTTATAGAGAAGAGTTGAACTGATCAAATTTTGTGTAAATTATTACTAAATTTTATTACTTTTTTGATGAAGGCAGAACTTTTAGAAAAATTAATTTATTTGTGGAAAAAAACAAACTATTAAAACTAATTAATAACTAAAGCTAGTAAACAATCAGAAACTATCTAAATAGCAAGTTCATTATTATTATTATTATTATTATTATTATTATTATTATTATTATTATTATCATCATTATTATTCTCATTATTATTAATATTTTCTTTCTCTTTCTTCTTCTTTTTCTTCTTTTTCTTCTTTTTCTTCTCTCTCTTTTTCTTCTTCTTCTTCTTCTTCTTCTTCTTCTTCTTCTTCTGCTTCTTCAGAACTGGCTTTGTGAACTGGACAGAGACTTTAATACTTATTATTTGATAAGCAGACACTCTGTTGGTGCTGAGAGAAAACAGAGAGACAGTAGTAAGCAGTGACAGTGATAATAGAGCAGTAGCAGCAGTAGTTGATGAAATAGAGACAGAATACAGGTAATTCATGTTGACAGCAGAGACAGAGACAGCAGAAGCAAGATAATCAGATGCATCAATCAGATCAAAATAGTTTAATCTGATTATAGTACTGATGCCAAGAATAAGCTTTAGATTATCAGTATTAATTATAACACACTTATAATATGCTATTGCCATAACAGAGTCTATATTACTTAGTATAATTATTGATGCCATTACTAATAGTGACTTACACTCAAACAAAGTGTACAAGATTACTTTAGTAGTCTTTTAAAGTAATTTAATAACAGTATATTGCCAGCAATATTTATGTACTTGATAACAGAACAAAGTAATTTTCTAAATTAATTACTAAAACAGAGCTATCAGAAGAATTAGCTTGATAGAGCTCTAGAAGTAGTAAATTTTCTTGATGATATTTATTTTATTAATTAGCATTAAGACTGTTACCAAATATTATTACTTTTTAATATATAAGTGCTGGACTTTCAATTACAAATAAAGAAACAGAAGTAAGAGTTCTTCTGATTAAACTTAGCTAGATCAATATCTTTATTAACTTTATATTAATTGCTTTTCTTCAGGGCCTATTCTTTTAATATGATCTTGTGCTGCTTCTCTCCAGCTGTGTAAAATAGATGCATATGAGAAAAACTAACATCTTATCAGTAAATAATATGTGCCAAAGTAGTATTCTGCAAGTACTCATCTTTTAATATAACTTATTTTGTTGCAGTATAGATTCTTGTATGACACAACTTGGTTAATTCTTGTTCAAACTAGACAAAATGTAAAAAGTTGAATCTCTACTCTTCTTGAATCAAATTCTTGATAGCATGCTATGTAAAAAACCTTCACACTATTTCTCTTTTGACTTAGTGTCACACACAAATGTTGTGAATATATTATATATATACTTACCTACCATCTTTCTTCTCTCTTTTCAAGTAATATATTTATGTAAATAATGTCTTAGCTAGTAATTTCAGCTTGCTCTATAACATTACATATTGCTTTATTACACTCTACAAGATAGATGCTTACAAATACTAAAGAATAGAAAAAACAGAATTATAAGAGATAATACTGAAGAAGTCAGTCTTGCACTTATATTCTGAAATACCAACAGTAACTGTAAGAATTATAAACTATAAACACAAACTAGATGCTTATATTTAAAGTTTCAGAGTCTCTTCCAGATATCAAAACTAGCTATAAAGTAATGAAGAGAATAAAAGAAAACAGACTAGTATGATTCTTGAACTACCAATATATTCAGAATCAGATAAACAAGAACCTGTACTGGTAGCCAAAAGCTGCTCAGAACAATACTAGCTTTAACTTAATTAGTACTAGTAAAACTTCTATCAAGCATTCTTATCATCAGCTTTTTAATTGCATCTGATTTAATAGAAAGAACTTGAGTCTATATTCAAGCTTTAAAATAAATCTATAAAATAAATTACAAATTAATAAATATGTTATTAGAAATAAACAGAATCAAGCAGTTTATATAAACTTATGATTAAAGAAATATGCAGCTAAGATAATACTTTTTTGAGTTAAAGCTCACTATAATATAATAAAATACACACTTGAGAAATTCTTTAAGCAGATGAGACAGATCTTTAATAACTCTGTATACTGACAAAAAGTTCTGCAAAGCCTATACTTAATCAAGCAAGAACAAACTTTTTTAGTAATTATCTTATCTGAGTTTAACTCTCTTCTTCTTGAGTCAGATGTACTAATAAATAACTAATCAGAAAAAGAATATCTACAATCAGCTTTAAGCACTAAATTAATAGAAAGAGCTATTGAAATATCTATATCTGAAATCTATAAAGAATATCACACACAACTCTGTCAAGTTAATTATCAGATACAAGAGCTAAATCAGATTAAATCTCATATATACATGTACTTCTTCCCTCTTAGCTTTAGTACTAGATTTTATACTCTAAAAGAGTCTGCTTTTTTCTCTGCTGATAATCTTATAAATCTCTTTATCAATGCTAAGAGACAGCTCCAGTTTAGCTGAACTAGTAGATAACAGAAAAATAGAGTTACAGCAACCAAAAAAAACTCTGCTTATATTATAACAGATCAGATCACATAATATAAATTTGTTCTTATACTTTATCTCAATACTTATAATATCAAGCCCAGCCATAATCTATAATTACTGTCTATATTATACTGAAACTAAAAAAGAAATATATAATAAAGAATAATAAGAAAAAAAATAAATAGCTTCTGTTAAAAAGCACTGGCAGAAGTACTATAAGAAGCTTATATAAGAAAAGTAGAGAAAGTTTGAGAGAATATCTGCTACAGAATTTTTTATCATACATGCAATTATTAATAATACAGATGTTGCTAAAACTATAATAAATAATAAATATCAATATTACTTTTTTATTATTTTTTAAGCTGTACAGAAGTATAAGCTTAAGTAAATATTTATTTCTAAGCAAATACTGAAAGAATTTAATGTAAAGAATCACAAAATAATAAGGTATGTAATGAAAATAAATCTGAATATTAGAGAGCATAAAATACAAAAGTCTTTGCATATAAAGTTCTCTAGTTAGATAGATATAATATGATACTGAGATATTTCTGACTACAGTCAGAAATAATTATACTAGATGAAGAAGAAGACATGCTCTAATTCAAGCTCTCTGATATTATACTATCTATCTAATATATAGAACAGGCAGCTCAAGATCTGGAAGTGTTGCAAATCTTAGCCAGCAGCTTGATAACTTGATACCAGAAACAGAGAATCAAACAAGTCTATATTTTTGCTGCTAGTTTAACTGATATTAACAAGACTCTTTATGAGAAAAATTATCCAGACTTTTAAACAAAATTACCAAAGTACTATTATGAATTTCTAAATGTTTTCAGCATGATGAATGCCAACAAGCTGCTCTTCTATTATGAACCTGAAATTAACTACCAGATTAAATTGATAACAGAAAATGGAAAAGAAGCTCAGCCTCCATAGAAGCTACTATATAGCATATCACAGAAGAAGCTTCTAGTTCTACAGAAGATACTAATAAATTTACTAGACAAGAAATTTATTTGAGTTAGTAAATCAAGTACTGCAGTACTGATTCTCTTTGCAAAGAAGTTTGATAGTAGTTTACATTTCTATATAAACTACTGAGAACTAAACAAGCTGATTAAGAAAGACTGATATTTACTGCTTTTAATTAACAAAACTCTGGAACAGATTAGGCATGTCAAGTAATTTATAAAGTTAGACATTATCTAAGTATTTTATTAGATATAAATATTAGAGAGTAATAAATAAAAAACAGCTTTCAGAATATAATATAAACTTTTTAAATGAATGATTATCTCTTTTAGACTTGCAAACATTTCAAGCATCTTCTAAAAATGCTTTATAATTATCTGGACAAGTTCTACTCTATCTATATAGATAATATCTTGATCTTCACCACCAGATCATATTCAGAATAGCAGGAGCATGTACAGAAGATACTACAACAGTTACAGAAGATAGGCCTGCATATTAATATTAGTAAATATGAGTTTGAAGTTACATTAACAAAATATCTTGAATTCATTATTAAGACTGGCAGAGATGTGTGAATGAATTCTGAAAAGATGCAAGCTATACTAGAATAAAAGACTTTTATAATAGTTAAAAATATGTGTAGCTTTATTAAGTTTGCAAATTTCTACCAACAGTTTATAAAGAACTTCTCTAAAATAATAGCACTGCTTATAGTACTAACTAGAAAGAATAATAAATTTAAATAAATCAAGAAATATAACAATGTTTTTGAACTTTTAAAGAATATATTTATTACTGCATCTATTCTCTTACAGTTTGATGCAAGTTATAAGATAGTAATCAAGATAAACTCTTCAAACTATATAATAAAAAGTGTACTTCTGTAATATGATGAAAAGAGCACACTACAACTATGCATCTATTTTTCAAGAAAGAACATATCTGCTGAATACAAGTATAAGATTTATGATAAGAAACTGTTAGCTATAGTGAAGTGTTTACAGAAATAAGACTCTGAGCTTTATAATATCAAGAAATTCAAGATTCTTACTTACTACAAGAATTTAAAATATTTTATGATTTAATAATATCTTAACAAGAGAGAGATACAATGAATAGATACTTTCAATAACTTTAATTTTTAAATTAACTATCATTCTGAAAAGCTTAATATAGAATCAGATGTACTCTTATAATATAATCAAGATATGCAGATCAACACCAACAACAAACAGCTGAAGAACTGGAAAGTACAGCTACTAAAGTCTTATATGATTACAAGCAGTGTAATAGCCTGCCATGCTACTGGAGTGAACAATATAATAAAGCTATTGCTAGCTGAACACTAAAAATATATATATGCAGTGAACATGCAACTTTAAGAGATGAAATAAGCTCTCAAGAACAAATATTTATAGTTCTCTTCTGAGCTCTTAGTGAAGATATTAGTATCAGACTGCTTGCTTAATAACAGAAACAAGTTAGTATGCTTTCAGAGATAATACTGAATTCCAGATTCTGAAGAGTTATATATACAGATCATGCAGAAAATTCATGATTCTGTAATAACAGGCCATTCAGCTAGAGAGCAGATGACCACTATACTTATATATAAATATTTCTGGTCTAGATTTATCAAGAATATACAGTGCTTTGTATGAAACTGTAATCTCTACTAAGCAACAATAATATAGAGAAATTGCTAAAAAGAGATGCTAAAGTCTCTGTCTATTTCTAATTATATCTGGTCAGAACTTTTTATAGACTTTATTATTAATTTACCAGAATCAGAAAAATGTACAAACATCATGATTATTACAGACCAGCTTACCAAAAAAGTTATCTTTAAACCATGCAAGAATATTAGAGTTGAAACAGTAGCTTATATAGAGAGTTGAACCTCTACTCTTCTTGAACCAAATTCTTAATGACATGTCATGTAAAAGATCTTTATAGTATTTCTCTTTTGGCTTAGTGTTACACACAAATATTGTGAATATATTATATATACACTTGCCTACCATCTTTCTTCTCTCTCTAAGTAATACATTCATGTATATAGAGTCTTAGCTAGTAATGTCAGCTTGATCTGTAACATTATGTATTGCTTTCTTTCACTCTATAA